AATCAAGAGTGATGAAGGAAATGATCAGAGTACTCCTCTTCTAGTAGTCTGCAACAGCCTGTTAAGACCACATTGAATAAACTTGAACTAGAGAATATAGGTATTGAACTGATGAACCTACCCAGGGGCCAGTTTTGATTTTTGTGCCACAATAGCTTTTAACACAGTACATGTTCTCCTTTGTCAGGGCTTGTTCTTTCACAGAGAAAGGGAACAAGCATTTCAAAGTTGCCAGTTCCCTTTTGTCAGGAAGCTGGCTGTTGATTTGTAAGAGGATTATTTCTTCTAGAAACATTTTTCCATGATAGCACATGGAAGTTCTACCACCAAAGCACTGTATGTCTTGCAGTAAGCACTGTTCTGCAGAGAACTTTTACAAATAAGGTTTTAGTTTATAACCTAAGTTGATTTTTTTTTAATGAAGCACAAATAGTTGTGGTTAAGTTAAATGTTTTATTAACAGCTTCCAGTAAACAAATTGTGGTTTGAGCATCCCTAATTTATATTTTACTCTACAGGCTTTCCTTTCCCATAAGCAAGAATTGCACTACAGTCCACTCTTGCTTGAGCTGTATCAAATAAAAATTAGGTTCATCTTCTGTGTATTCAGTAAAAATGTATATTGCTAGAAAATATATCCTTGCACTGACTCCTTGTGTACAGAGCAATGCTGAAGGTTTTAGTCGTCAGCCCACTGCTGCTGCCTTATTACCAAAAGCACCTAGAAAGAGCTAAAAATGTATGCAATTATGTAACTTATACTGAGAAGGAAAATGTACTTGTATATTTTAGTAAATTATTTTCAAAAAACCCGTTCAAATTTATTTGGTGTAACTGTTGTCATTTTGTTTAGTAGTACTAAGATGTCACTGAAAGCCCTCACTTAGCTACTTGAGTCTGTCAGTTGTTGGTAACAGCTACACTTCAACATTACACTCATAATCATGATTAGCAATAAGTGATTCTTTTGTGAGATGCTCAGAGAGGTATTTATTTCCCTGACCCTGCTGCCATTTTATTTCAATTCTTACATAGTAATACCTAGAAGAGTGTTTTAGGGAACATCAGCTCCTTTTTCTAAGGATGGATGCGATTCATCATTTAACAGGGAACCAGTTGTACTTTAGACTTCCCATTCCAGGTATTACTTAATAAAAAAACCTACTAGCAGAAGTAGCTGACAGCTGACCATGTTTATGAGACTACTTTGTTTTGCAAGGCATAACTAGGGAAGTGCTTTAAGAAAACTTGTCTTACCATGATGCAAAGCCCTGTATAGTTAGAAATGTATTCAACTTCATACTGATGGATTCCACAGAGCAGAACATGCAAATGGAGTAGTGAATAAAACCTCCACACTTGTTCTAAATTTTAGCTCCTTCTACTTGATACCTAAATCCTATTTGAAGTACTAGCTTTTTTTTTTTTTCCTGGAGCTTTGCTGTGCATGAGACATCAACAGAACAAATTAGCAGTTAAGCAGATTCCCCCTTTGCATTCACCAAAGGAGTGGTCTATCATCAATGTGTATGCACTTGGCAATACTGTGCTGCAGTGGCATTTTGGTTTTACACTTTTTTAACTGCAAGCATCTGTGCTCAGAGATGCTGCTTCTCTCATTTAACATGTGTTTATCAGGGTTCTGCTATTCAACAACAATGTGTAAGAAGAGATGGTAGAACAGAACGATTGAAAATTATGGAGTTAGCATTGCTATAAAAAAATCTTAAAATTGTGGGAAGAATTTCAGTAAATCAACATTTTCTTTTGTGATCACTAGTACACTTAGTAACCTTTCAGTTACTCATTGTTGGGCTCCTTTGCTGCCTTGGAGTTATGACCGCTATCAGCTTTTTTAGAGCAAAATGGAGAAAGCACCACATAAAATACTGATTGGAACTGAGTTAGTCCTAATTAACTAAACTTGTTCCAGAACAGAGGATGACTTACTTCTGTTGCAAGGAAAAAATAACTGGCTGATGCCTTGCCTGTTTTAACTCACAGCAATGAACTGCAACTAAGTCACATAGGAGAATGCTGTTCTAGGCATTTCAGCACTCTAACCTATTAGTAGTTTTATATTGGGACTTCCTGTTTTCCCTTCTCACCCCCACCCTGCAACAAGTGAAGCTATAAACCAATTTTATTTCCATGCACAATTACACTTGCAGCTTTTTAATTTTGGAATTACTGAGGTAGAACATTATCCCAGTTAACAATATAAACAATTTATGTATTTTGTTTCAGACCTACATCCCTTGCTCTCTAATTTTCCATTGCAGTAGACACACATTTAATCCATCTATTCCACCAGCATTTATACACTGCATTGCTTCAGGCTCAGCAAAGGTGAATTAGCAACTGCAGGTCATTGTGTGGTGTGAACAGTGAGTTGTTTCACCATATAGCCTTCACAGAGGTGAGTTCTGCAAGTAGCTGTACAAGCAGCATGTGCTGCAGTTCATAGTACAGTTACTGCTCTGCTAAAGAGCTGTCTTTCATCAAGGAGCAGACTAGCTTGAATTTATCAATTAATGTCTTTAAAGTGTGGAAAGGGAATGAAATCTTGAAATCGGAGGACAGTTGAACAAACACTCGAGGAAAGGGGATATGGTCAATCCAAACTGAAATTGAAAAATCCAGAAAATTTGAAATGGAATGACTACAACCAATTTTACTGAGATGAAATTGGGTGTAAGCCAAAATTATTCCCTTTGAAATCCCTAAAATCAGGAAAGAAAGGGAAACAAAGAGACAGAAGAGAAACAGAAGAATTGATATTACAGGAAAAAAAAAAAAAAATCAACCTGACACCCATGGGACATGTGCTGCCTCCTCATAATAGTTACATAAGCAGGCTGTCCCTAGTTTCCTTTCCTAGTTACTGGTAGATATTAGATAATAGATTAGAAGTACTTCTTTCAAGCTCTTCCCAGGTATGCTGGTCTCTCTTCCAGCTCAGAACTGTTGCAAGTCAACAAAAGTGTCTATTTCCCCCCATACCTCCTCCCCCTTAAGAGTGTTTTGGGAATCTGAGGCTGTGGTATGAGAGAAAATTGCCTCACAAATGAAATTGCTTTTGCAGTAGGTTAATATAGTTAAATAACTTCATTTCATTTATTGGACTAGTTATTTGCTAGGTATCTGTTACCAATACTTAACTAGAAAGTTTTAAGTTATTCTACTTTGTTTCTTTGTCATCCTCAAGTATACTCCCATGTATGTAATGGTCTTTCAAAGAAGAGATGGACACAGTTCTTAGTCTGCATTTAGGAGATGATTATGCAGGGATCAAAACCAGAGTGTTAAAGACCACAATATTCCTCTCCTCCCAACCACACCTATTCTTTTTATAACACTGGGATTTCTGTGAAATAAAAATAGATGAGGAACTTCCTAGTTGCATAATAGCAACTAGTTCTGCCAAGTTTTTCAAGGACAGGAAACTAAACAAAGACATTTCTAGAGAAAATAGTTTTAAAACACATTCAGTTATAAAAGTATGTATTTTTTGTGCACAATATATAGTTTAACAATCAAAAGCAGTAACTGTAAACCTTCATTCTTAATAGCATTTAGATATACAAAGATGTACAAGTGTTGATTTCATACCATAGATATGGAAATTAAGCATCTATTCTATAGACAACAGTAAGACGTCCAAGAAGCAAACTGTTTTTGACTAACATAAAGGCACCAACTCCCTCACAGATTTGGCTCTTGCTGTATCAGAAAATAGTATTGATACTCAGATAATACTCAAGAGTCTCAGAAATTATTTTGTGTGGTATTCACTGCAATATTACACTTTTGATATACCAATCACAGCAAACATGCTCATTTATTGTTAGAGATTAGGCAAGTCAAGGACAAGAACTTGCAACGGCAAGGGAGGAAAAACATTCTGACGTTTGGAATGTCCAAATGCTACAGAGCAGGCTTGCACTGTAGGCAGAATAAGGTAACCACTTCAGTCTTCTGTTCCAGGAGACAATTATAATTAAATAACATATACTTTTGCTTTCACAACTAGCAGCAAATATTCCTTAAGTTAATCTAAAGTTTTTAAGAAGGAAAAAAGGGCATACAAAGTCTCTATGCAGGTGGCTGTTCGAAGTTTACCATGCAATGTTCTTAAAAGTACTCCTTTGCTACTTGCATTTTTAAGCACATTATCTTAATTTACTTATTGGGTAGCTAGTGAGCTTTTGAAATTCATTAGCATTCCAACAATTACTGGAAGCTAGAGAGGAGCCAACCCACACTACTCAAGTATCTAGTCCCCTAAAAATGACTTCACCTTATTCACATAAGGCAAACTGCCACTGGCCTATTTTTACATGCAGCTGCCCCATCCTTTGGTTGGTTGTTTGGGTTTTTTTTTGTTTGGTTGGGTTTTTGTTTGGTGGGTTGTTGTGCGTGTGGTTGTTGGTTTTGGTTCTTTTTTCTTTACATATCAAGTTGTCCTGGGACCCAACTGTAAATACACTGATAACACTGACTGTATTTCTACTAAAAAGAAAATAGAACACTTAACAAATGCTGTCCTGCATTTTGGTGGATTAGTGTCATCTGTGACTATGGGATGCAATATTAGTGGCTACAGGGCATTTGTGGACTGTCCTTGAAAAAAGCACCCCATAATGCTATTAAGTTTAAATTATTTGTCCAATCAATTTGGTTTGAAGATTTTTGCCATCCAACACTGAGTATCACAGGTTAGTCCAAAGCATCATTTTCAACTTTAAAACAAGCATAATATATTGCTGGGTGGATTTAAAATAATCTAAGTCACTTAGAATTTAATTATCAAGAATTCAAGAAAATCTTTTTAGATTACAGTAAAACCAAACTTTCTTCACAGGAGAGTGGTTTAACTCACCTGGTCAGAAACTCCTCTATTCTGCAACAGAGTAAGAACATTTTATTTGCAAGCAACTTGGATATGTAATATTTCCAATTGCCAGTCCCAATATCTGCAATAATAAGCCAGTCAGGAATCTATTTAGAACTAATTTATTTAGAACTAGGATACAGTTCATAAATAGCTACTGCTTCCTCCAGACTTGTGACAAAGAAGTTTCACAATAAGCTTCTCTGGTTTTGGTAGGTTTTAGAAGCACCCCCAATGTCACTGCTGAGAGCAAACACTGCACCAGATCTCAATCATTATTTTGCACTGGAGAAAGCCATAAACTGAACTCCAGTGAAAACTGGCCAAAAGAGAGTAAGATATGGGATGCAAGCAAACTGCATGCTTTTCTACTCAGTTTCTTCCAGTTCAGATGCCTCAGTCAAACAATTAAAAGTTAGCTTTTAGATGAGACGTGTAAATTTTTCCATCAAATAAATACCTTAGGGGGATAAAACTATCTCCCTACTTTATTCCTCTACTTGTGTGCATGGGGCTTAGATCAGATAGGTATATACACACAACAAATATTATCAGAACAGTGCAGCATGATTAGTCATGGCCTCCAAACTGATGTCAATTTACAATAAAGAAATGGAAACCTGTATATCCCTCTGGCTACCATTACCTTAAAGTTCATATGGTTAGGAAGTGTTTTAAAGCCCTCAACCCACAAGTTGTAAGTAATGGGCCTCTTCAGTTCTGTGATACACAAATTCAACTCCAAACCAATTGTGGTTTGGATTGTAAAACTATGGTTAGATGCTAGAGATACAAATCAGACAACATTCACCTAGTCCCTATTTTAGTGAAGACACTCAACTTATGAGGTATTTCAAACAGTGCAAAGTGCCCTCTCCAACTCTCCACAACTGTGAATTCAGGTTACCCTGCTTGTTCAACTTAAATAAAGGACTGAATTTCCGGTGCAGGGAAAGGAAAAAAAAAAAAAAAAAGAAACTGGGAAGAGGAATCAAACATGCAAGAAGATTCTCAACGCCCTAACACTTTTAGCCCTGAGCAGTTTAAAGAAGATGAAGGCAGATGAGTAGAAGGAAGTTGGCTGCTTTCTTGGAGTCAAGGCCATGTTTACATGAAGCAATAAAAGAAAACTAATCCCTACAGAAGGGGTACTGCTTCATTTGTCCCAGCCCCTCTTATTTCAGAATAGAAGTTTCACAGATCCATGAATATGGTGGCTTGCAGCTGGAGAGGCTGTCATTGAACAATGACAGCAGGCTTTAATTTTCAATTAGTTTCTTGGCTCTGATGTTCGCTTGCTCAATGCGTTCCCTGTTTGTATCGGCCTGAAAGAGAGAAATTCATAGGTCATTTGCAGACTCGATGCAAAACAATTTAAAAATTCAAACTGATATGAACTTCTGAATTGCAAGGTATCATCATTGTGGTAGAGAGAAGGGGAGGAATCTCTGTACACTGGAGGTAATAGTCAAAACTGAGTCTGTGGGCATGAAGTCAGATTTATTTTGCTTAGTGCAAATCCATAGTTTTCATTCACATCCCCTCCAATGGAATAGTGCTGTAACAATTTGATATTTTAAGCTTTAGATTTTATTGTTGTGTAAAGCATCAAAAGTTGGGTCACAGTATCTAGGGTGAACAAGTGTCAAAACACAGTTTTACCGAAAGGTATGATAAGGAGTTTATCAGTAATTCCCCAATTATGCAGTGTGCTGTGGGAAATGTGCAGGAAGTGTAAAACGCACAAAACCACCCTCTGCCCTCACAGTGAGTGCAACTCCTAAGATGCTCAACCTGTGCCAAGTATTAGCACAGGTTGATGTGTTAAGTATTGGCCATTTCACACCTTTGTCTTGAAATGGGCTGGGCAGAGCACACTTGCAGTTCAAGTTCTTCCCTCCCATTCCCTCCTTCCTGCCTTTCTGGTCAAGGGGAGTGGAGAAACAAAAACCTACTATAAAAAAGGGAGACTCTAATCTGTTAGCAACACTTTGGAAACACTAATCTAGTTAGTAGATATTCTAAGAAAAATCCAGTAATGTAAGTTTCATTATGGGTTTCTTCAGACTAGGAGTCCTGCATAATACTACCAAAAGTCACCCAGTCAAGCCTATTTCCCAGGTGAGTAAGAATGCCTAAAAAAAATAGAAGTTAATATTCTGAAGTTAAGCTCTTTGTTTCTTTGCATGATACTGTTGTTTGGAGATTTACAGATAATATTTGGTTTGGTTTCCATACTGTTCACTACATTTAAGAAGTTATCAGCATAGAAGGATTAATTTAAATATCCTGAGACAAGTTGCCAGTCTCAAAGCCAGGAATTCCACTTTCATTTTTATTCTGGTCTGCAAAGCAATTCCAACTTCTATACACCATATTTTAATAATTAGTAAGATTTGATCAGCAAGATTTATTCAAATCACTAAACCAAAAGAGAATCAGGCCAAAAGAGATGCCTGAATCTACTAGAAACACTATCACTAAAAACAGTAATTCCCATTTGCAGTTTATTTGACCAGGCAGTTTTCAGTCTGCTTTAGAAGAATTTCACATCTCATTTTAGACTCCAAGAAATTTTCTAGTACTTCAACCTGTCTGACTTTTTTAACATGGTAATCAGATGTGCAGTTTCAGGGAACAGTTAAGGCATCCTCCATATGATCATGTTGATTTGCCTTATCAATACTAAATTACTAGACAAAATTGAGCTGCTGACACAGGTGCAATCAGCATTTTTGTCAAACCAGAGGAATTCCGTTCCTCTTGCTTTTAACCCTACTGCAACATTTCAGTGAGATTTTTAAAATCCCATTTCGTCTTAATACTATAATTTCACAGTAATCAGTGTTCACTTCTACTTTTTGAAATCTTTAATATACACTATTCATTAAAGGTTTTTCTTCCTTTCTCAACCAGGATGCCCATAAAATAACTTCTATTTTAGAAATGTCCATATTCTGAAATGAGTAGACTTAGCATTCTCATTAAGCTGCCCTTTGAAAGAAACCTCCCCAAAACATATTTATATATGTTAATCTGTTTGGAGAAGCTAATACTTAATTAATAAAATTATATACAAAAAGGGAAGTTACTATAACTAACTTAATATGCAGACCATTTCCCTGTGCACCTACAAACGCCATTTTTTCCAAAGTCTCCCCAGGTCCAATATTAATTTGTCCACAACAATTAAGGCAATGAATAACTTGTGGTTTACTTCACAGTCATTATAGTGACTTTCTAGGAATTCCAGAAGAGCCTTGCTATTGTTAAAAATACCTAATCTCTACCACAAGAAAAAAAATTTCCTGCAAGCAACAATCCCCCAGGTATACCTCCAGTAAATGTTTGTACTTTTGATCCCATGAAGTTTACTAGTTTTCAGAGTAAGTAGCAATCTGTGCTGTATATTTAGATTTCCTGTCACTCAAGCATTTGAATTTTAAGCTATGTACCCTATATATATCAAGGTGTATCTCTTGTTCATATCACTGCAACCTAGAGAATGGCATAACCTTACCACATATTTGCTGCAAATACAGTGAGCACATTCCTAATAACCTGTGAGTTACAACCTCTGAACTTAGAGCAGAGAACACCTTGGACATTTACCTTTATATTTATCCGGTCTATTTGCTTATTCTGGGCATCAATCTCATTGCCCATATCCAAAGCCATGTTTTTCAAATTCCCAAGAATGTTTCCAACTTGAGCAAGATTCTCATCCATTTCATCTTCTCTGGCATCATTGGTTATCCTGTTCAAATAATTAAGACAATGTTTCAAGAATCAAAAACTTGGTTTTATCTAGCATAGATTTACTCTAGTGGAACTTGACTGTTTGTTGCACTATGCATTCAAACCAAGGTATGTTTTTCCCTTTTAAAACTCCCTGTATTTCAAGCAAGCATTCACCAAAAAAGAGTGCTAAGCTAGCCACTAGTACAAAAATAGCCTTAAAATAGTTTCCTGAAGTTTAAGATGTGAGTTTCTCTCAAATATACTTTATGACAGTAATAGACCTTGGTATTTTTAAAAGTCCCCTGAATAACTCAGTACTATGCCTTATAGTTCTCACATCCAGAAACAGACTGACCATACCACCACCATGTAACAAAAAAGAAGTGTAGGATAAGCACTACAATACTGAAGGTATAGGTGTCTGCCATCTCCTCTCCAAGACACAACAATTCCTCCAAACAATAGTAAAATTTTCTATTTAGCAACTTGACCCAAAATGCATTTGAAAGAAGCTGACAACTAGTAACAGGATTTGTGCATTTGAGATTGAGGAATGTGAACTAGCAAACCTTGTAATATATCCACCACTTGGTCCTCCAGGAGTCTGAGGCTGCCGCTGGTTTATACTTCTCGGTTGCATGGATATCACATGATCTGCTGAGTTCTCCGTTCCATCTCCCCAGGTTGCTCTGTATGCTTTGCTGGCCTCAAAGTTCTTTGTCCTACTCCACAAAAATAAAAAATCTGAACCACTACACCAGAAATATGGCTTCCTGATTGAAATTCAGTATTAATCTAGAATTTTCAGAAACATTTGTCTTGTGCCCAAAGGAGATCAAATTTTGTACAGATAAAACTTTGTCTATACAACTCAAGTTCTTGTGTCTTGATAGCACAAACACAACTGAGCTACTCTAAGGACATTGATTACTTTGTTCTTTTATTAAAGCTTAAGACCAGTAATTTGCTTAAAGCAATACTTTATCAGAGGACAGAAGCTTATGACAGTCACAGGAAAGCTTACCCTGTCATAACATAGAGTTGCACTTATAACACTTCTTTCAGGAAGAAATGAGGATGAATGCAAAAACTCCCTCAAACAATTATCTATACTATGCAAGAAAACCATTAATTGGTACTATTTTTTTTAAATCAAACATTAAAAAATTACTTGGCAACAGAAGAAGTTAATGTTTCTCATGTTAACTGTGATTATGAACTCAGAGTAATCATGTTTAAGTAATTCTTTCATTCTGCAATTCAATCGTACTAACTCCATTAAATCAATAAGACAACCTGCCATTATACTTTTTCCACATAAATCATAGGAGAAAAAAAAAATAAAGAAAGCACACTGACACAAAGCAATCTCAAGATTCACAGAGCCACAAAAGCATGAGGGGAAGAAAACCTAGCAAAACAAACTTATCTAAATTGAGGTCTGTTCTCATGAATCCTGAAGAACTTATTTTGAGAATATTCTCAAAATAAGAGAATGTTCATCTTGTTTTGTGGCATTTTCAGGTTTAAGCTAGACAATCCAGACACTGCCATTTTTCTGCTTCTTTAGACACCTGTGAAGGGAAATCTGTAATGTCCCAATACACCTAATTTTGCAATGACAGGCAATTTCTAGAGATATGGTGCCTTTCAGTAACCTGGATGTTACATGTTTGACGAGTTGTGAAATTAGCTGTAATGAACAAATATTCCCCCTCATTCTACTGATGTTTATGTATTCAATATGGGAAATTACATCTCATAGGTCAGATCCTACAAGAAGTAATCTAAAACGAATATATTGAGGGGAAAAAATAGAATAATTTCTCCATTCATAATGGAAATATTGCACCCAACAAAACGCTGAAGAAACCTAAACTACTCAATTCTAGCTCCTTGTACATACACAGGCCTAAAGATCGCTACATTTACTGCAACTAGATTGAGCATTATATTTTAATCTCATTTATACTAAAGCCATAACTGGAAGAGATCTTTGTATTATTTGCTTCTGGAGGAGCAAATTCTTAGGTACCAGAGGCAACTGTGAGGACTTTATTAACAAAAATCAAGTGACCTGAAGACTACTTGCACCTGTGAAGTAGACATCCAGAAAAAGAATTACTGTTCAAAGTAAGCACAGGTAAGAAAACTTCTCACCACCTGCTTTTAAGAGCTGTTTTTCAAATTACTATACATTCACACTTCTGAAGTTTCATTTCTACAAAACCAAGGCTATTTACACAACCTGTCAAACCAGCAATGGCTCAAGCAGTTGCTCACCATTTCCACAGCTAATAATATCCTCTGTAGTAATGGACGTTTTCTATCCACATCAGTATACATCACAATCACACATCACAATCACAAGGAGAACCGCATGCAGACAGACATCATGCACATGCAAGCACAAAGGCAATAGAAACATCACTTCAGACAGCTGGTTAAATATGCATCTGCACTACTAACACTGACCTTGTCCTAAAATCCACTTTCACCAGTTTAAATGAATACAGCTTCTTATCCTAGTCTTCATTTTTAGAAAGCAAGCATCAGTGTTAGGAGAGAACGGAGAAGAAAGTAGTAAAGATCAACAAAAAGGTAAATTGTTAATAGTACATAGATTATATAACAGAACTGCCAGTATTTTTTGCTTTCACAAAGCTTTTATAAATAATCTAAACCTAGGCGATATTAAAAAAAAAACAAAAAAAACCACAAAACAATAACTCAGCAAGTGTTCTGATTTAGCTTATATAGCTTTATGCTTTTATGAAAAATATGAAAAGCTATGGAGGTAACTGGTTGACAAATAAATCTGACATTGGAGAAAGGTTTGGTGTACCAGTAGATATATGAAAGACAGACACTCCTTCTTTGCTGCCCTCTACTTACCCATTTTTTTCTATACATTACTGTCCAGTTTGGTACACAACTACTTCTGTTCTCTTTATCTGTGTACTTGGAGTGCCACAAGAGTTCACAAATTCTGAGCTTGCTCAGTGTCAAAAAGCTGCTTAGCTTCAGTGAAATAAGACTATCAACTACAGAAAACAAAGACTGAGTGTGTCAAAATGCTCAAAGTCCATTAGCTCAAGCCAACTAATATAGAGCGGTAAGCACACCCATCCAGAAGACAGGACATTTTCATTTTCAAGGGACTAAAGCACTAAGACTTTCAGCCTTAGAAGTCACATCCATATCCTAAATGACCCTTAAAGTACTATTATGTTGATTAAGTGGGCCCAGCTACTCCAAGGAATTTTTACCTGAACTTTTGCTACTTCTCCATTGAATAACTGATTTTGCTCATGCTAAAGAGCAAAAACCAAAATACTATTCACTTCAGTCACCACAGTCAATTTATGCCTCCTTCATTTGGAAGGGCCATGATCACATCCAATTAACACAAACAATTTGGTACTTTACTGCTTAAAGCTAAAGCTAGGACACCATGAAAAATACTTCTGACATTTTTCAGGCTGTTTAAAAATACAAATCAAGTGCCATAATAAAGATTGGATTACTCAACTGACTTAGGTATAGCAGCCATAACACTGATGTTATAAAGGTACTGTGAAGCAGGTCTGCAAGAATTTATGTAGTCACTAGTGAAAAGATTAAAGCTTTAACATCAGTGTCTGCTCTGTCCTCCTACTCTCACCCTCCCTAAAGCATGAATAAGTTGTCTTGCTTTTTAATTAGTACAAAAGTATTGTTGTGAAAAAATGATTTTTGGAATTAAATTTCTAACAGACAGGCACTGACATACAGCTACTTGCAGTTCAATTTGGTCTCATCTGCATGGACACTGATAGTCTTCTACTAAACAGAAGCCTTAAAGAGATCAGGACACAACTGTGCAGGATGCTATAAAGCAGCTATATTTACAGTAAAAGGGGCACAATGTATGGTTAGATACAAGTAAGCTTCAGTTACTCTCATACAATTTTAAAAGGATGCAGCTCTACAAACCAAAACAATCAACTTTGGTAGAGATTCAGCATTTTTAAATTAGTTCTTTAATTAGTTAATATTTCCTGGTACAGTAGATATTGGGAATATTCTAGAACTCCAGGCCCAAGTACCAATATAACTGACCTGTTACAAGGACAGACACAGAGCCCACAACATTTATTGAGCTCTGTCAGTGTCTTCTCAGCTTCTCTCATGTCCTTGTTTATCTGGTCCATGCCTTCTTCTATACGATTTAGTTGTTCTAGAAGAGAAACAAGTAACCTGACTAAACATGGATTGGGGAAGGTGAAGAAAATTAATATTTCTTTATAGCAGGAACACGTTTCAGTTCTATCTTTATATGAAGACCATTGACTTTTTTCTTTCTTGCCTTCTAGGATTTTTTTTTTTTTTAAATTTTTAAGAAAGATATTCAGTGAGAGGTTTTGGTTACTTGGCAAATATCTTCCCCACCTTAGAGCAGCATTTCTGTTGCTACTCTTAGAATAAATGCAGCTAGTTACATTCATGACATAGTGGAAAACAGCAGCTTCTGTAGCAGAGCTGTATTACATCGTAACTATCATTAGCTCTCAACTACTTTAGCATCTTTGTAGCATACTTTAGCAGATTTGTAGCATATTTTAAATGCTACAAATACATAGGAATAACCAACTAGGAAATCTCACTTTCCCCTAAATAGTCTATAATAAGCCTTCAGCTACAACTCTGTGATAGTTCTTTTCTTACACAGTCATTACAGTCTAATACTGATTTCTAGTGTTATGGAAGAACTTACCTCCTTGTTCATCCAGCATGGTATCAGCAACAACTCTGTGGTAGTTGTTTTCTTACAGTTATTACAGTCTGATACTGATTTCTAGTGTTATGGAAGAACTTACCTCCTTGTTCATCCAGCATGGTAATAGTTTTGATGCCAACATCCTGGGACTGCAGAAAGAAATTTAGTTGCAGATGTAAAATAAGACTGGAGTGCAAAATCAGAAGGTCTGGACAGTAAATTTGATAATCCAACCAAGATTATAATAAAACACTGTACTTGAAATAACTTCTGTAGTAAAGGTATTAGAAGTCTCAAATTACAAGCTATGTTAGGCTGATATGCACCTTACCTGTTACACTATCTCAATTAGTAAGGTTTTATGGTGTTTTTGTGAGGTTTTTCTTCCATTACAAGATGATAAAATTTATTGTAATACTCAGACTGAGCTGTGACAATGTCTAGCCAGAAAAGCAAACCTAGCTGTGCTTCATTTTGAGAACTAGCATTTGGTTCATTCATCCCTACATCCTTCAAAAGGGCTTACAAGGCCTTTAGTCCTGGGAGCCAGAATGAAAGCAAGTAAAACAAAGCCTTCAGAATAATTTCTAAGAATTTAGCAGTGAGGAATATACTACAGCAGAGCTCTTTGCTGGCTCAGAGTCTTGGATCTAGCATGCAAGTTGCCCCCATGCTTTAGTGTAAACTGGCAGCACATAATGAATCAGCAAACTATGACACCAAGAGAAATTATGTTGGCTCCCGACATGTACTTAACACTTGTGTGTGAAGTATTCATCAGGCTACAGTGATTCAAATGCTTCACTGGTAATAGCTGTATCTTCAGCAAGCCCCTTACCTGTTACACTATCTCAATTAGTAAGGTTTTATGGTGTTTTTGTGAGGTTTTTCTTCCATTACAAGATGATAAAATTTATTGTAATACTCAGACTGAGCTGTGACAATGTCTAGCCAGAAAAGCAAACCTAGCTGTGCTTCATTTTGAGAACTAGCATTTGGTTCATTCATCCCTACATCCTTCAAAAGGGCTTACAAGGCCTTTAGTCCTGGGAGCCAGAATGAAAGCAAGTAAAACAAAGCCTTCAGAATAATTTCTAAGAATTTAGCAGTGAGGAATATACTACAGCAGAGCTCTTTGCTGGCTCAGAGTCTTGGATCTAGCATGCAAGTTGCCCCCATGCTTTAGTGTAAACTGGCAGCACATAATGAATCAGCAAACTATGACACCAAGAGAAATTATGTTGGCTCCCGACATGTACTTAACACTTGTGTGTGAAGTATTCATCAGGCTACAGTGATTCAAATGCTTCACTGCAGCTGTATCTTCAGCAAGCAAGCCAGAACTGTGCAGAGGAGTAGATTCCTCATACGATTTCACTTTGATAAATCCAAAGTACAGATTTGTTTCAAATAATGTAAAAGGGTGTTAAGAGTTCCCTTATCAGTTAAAACTGGTGAACAGCTTGTAAGAAGATGCACGTAGAATTACTCCTTTGAAACAAGAGCAGTCGTACTCTACTACCCCACCCAGCTGAGCCCTAATGTCCTCAGCAGCAAAATATTTCCACACTGTCAACAAAGTGAGCTGAAATACAGATGAAAGATGTTATGAAAAGCAAATTTTGCAGCAGCCAAAGACATAAGCGGCCCTCAGAAGACTTTTTACAACTAATCTGTAGCATTTGGAGACCAGATCCTTTGGCTTAAAACAGATAAAAAGGGTATTGATTCTTCTGTAATCTGATAGATTGTGAAAATCATGAAGGTTATGTCATTCTAATGCTACTACTGAATTAAAGCAGCAACTTCTAATGATGAAGTGTGCGTGTCTTGAGAAAGACAAAAAACTGTTTAAAATTACAGTTAGCATGGCACTTTTTATACTTAATAAATCCAGAGAATTCAAAAGCTTTTTTCTTACCTCAATGGCCAAGCCAAGAATCCTCCTTGTGCTTTCCAAAGACTAGAAAGAAAATTTTAAAATGAGTGCATTAATTCCTTATATACACATCAGTGTCTGAAAGTCTTCTCTGCCAGTTTATTGTAGTAAGGCAATAGTATACAAAAGGTTCATCACCTTGTTTATATTTAATACATGCTACAACATGCTCATAGTGGCAACACATTAGTTTTTCTTCATTTTTAGTCTTTGCTATTGTTTTTCTTATCCCATTGGAAAAATCTTACAAAAGATGACATATTCAAATGAATTTTAGTTAAATAAGAAAGCCACAAAGTATCAATATGATTAAAAATGCTGGAGGTAATCAAATTTTATTATACCAGTAATCAGGACTGAGTGATCAGTACTCAGTAAGTGACTTTAAAATCCATTCCTATTTTTAGGAGTAGTCGATTTTATTATACCAGTAATCAGGACTGGGTGATCAGTACTCAGTTAAGTAAGTGACTTTAAAATCCATTCCTATTTTTAGGAGTAGTCTTCTCTCCAGTATTCACCAACTAAAGTGAAAACATTCAGCTATAACCTTGCAGAATCATTATCCTGGTCTTTGTTTTTAAAAGATATTCTAATCTTGTCAGACAAACACTGTAATCCCAGATGTCTTCCTATAATATTTACCTCATCAGTGACCTGGTTGGCCCTCAGCTGAATTTCTTCGGGTGATAGCTCATCCATGATGAGGAAATACTACTTGTAATCACACCAAAGAGAACCTTCCCCCTGTAATAACAGATACCAAGTAAGAATCAGAATTATCCTTTCATCAGTATTTTGAGTTGAAAGTAGAAGATAGTTCAAAGAATGAGAGCCTATACATTTCGTTCTGCATAGTAAAATATCTCATTAGGACTAGAAGACACTAAAATCATTATTCAGCTGATATGACCTAACCGAGGAGCTAAAAGAAATAGAGGAACAATCAGTATATAAAGCAGTTTTCTTTCCAAGATTTGGCTTCCTAAACATTTTTGAAAAAATTCTGTGGTTAGTTAGGTAAAAAATAGGAAATAAGGTCTTAAAATAATAAACTTCTCCATGCTAGAAAAACACATTAGTTTGCTCAATAATGTAGAAATAAATTTATTAAGACATTTAAGTTATTAGTATAGACTTTAAGTGTTCTTTCCATTTCCATTGAATAATTTAAATAGTCAGAAAAAGAGGAAACATTTTCACAGACAAAACACCACCTAAAATTATCCCAAGTAAGACTCTAGAAATGGTTGCTATTATTGTATGGTGAATTCCTCAAATGCAAAAGGATCCACAAGGGTTTTAACTGGTATGTCTGTAACTGTAGCAAAAGTTTCTAATCTACCTTTCTCAAATTAAGCACAGGGTCATAAATGAAATCCCAAGACACCATGATTTACCTTTTGCTAAAAACAGAAGATATTTTGCCTAAAATACAAGACGAATTAGCAATCCCATCAATAAGTGTATTCCTATCAGAGACAGGTTTTTCAGAGCTAAGAATCTGCACTTGTGTTGGAGGAATGGTAATAAAGCCAGCACTCCTAGCAATGGGAAAACAGAGCTCACAGGCTACACAAGAATTTAATGAGATAGCACATAAGCTCAGAAATAAGAGGATATTTTCCCCCCTTAATTTTAAACTAATCCTTGATCTTTCACATGAGTAGCTTGCAATTAAGTTCATGTTACTCATGGATATAATTCCAAACATCCTGCTTCACTTGACTAATTTTTCCCTACAAGATTAGTATTTTAGAATATATAACATAAGTAATTGCTCCTAGGAGGGTAAATTTATGCAGATTTGCCCAGCTGTTACCCCATAGCTCTTCACAGGAAGTGTGCATAACTCTGATGGTGAACTGAAATCAGGACACCTAAATCCCTTATAGCTGAAATACTTCATGATTTAAACAATATTTCAGCAGGTTTGGTCTTCAGCACCTACCATAGCCTGAGACTATGGCTCTAGGAGATTTCTCTACAGTAGATGTGAATGCAAGTTAGTTTTTCCTATCATTAAAAAAAAAAAATCAAGATATTATTGCACAAGGCATCTAAATAACTCTGTTTTCAGTAGTCCAATTTCAGTGTATAATCAGTGAATTATCTTTTCATTCATAGGCTTGAGCTCCTTTCATAAGGTTTATCTGAGGCAGTCTCAGCTTTCAATTTGGGAACGCCCTTCAAGCTGATTTGCATATCTAAGGACCAGTGAACCTGGGACAGGGAGGAAAGTACCTATTTTCACTGAATAAGATTAAGCAATATCTCTGGGCAACCTGCTCCAGTGCTCAGTCACCTGCACAGTGAAAAAGCTTTTCCTCATATTCAGGTGGAACTTCCTGTGCATCAGTTTCTGCCCTTTGCCTCTTGTCCTGTTGCTTGACACCCCTGCACAGAGCCTGGCTCCATCCTCTGACACCCTCCCTTGAGACACTGATAGACATTGATGAGGTCCCCCCTCCGTTGTCTCTTCTCAAGGCTGAGCAGGCCCAGCTTCTCAGCCTTTCCTCATAAGAGATGCTCCAGCCTCTTAATTATCTTCCTAGCCCTTTGCTGGACCCACTCCAGGAGCTCCATGTCTCTCTTGTACTGAGGAGCCCAGAACTGGACACAGCACTGCTGATATGCCCTCACCAGAGCTGGGCAGAGGAGCAGGATCACCTCCCTGGACCTGCTGGCAATGCTCTTTGGTATGAGCCCCGGATCCCACTGGCCTTCTTGGCCACAAGGGCACTGCTGGCTCAGTTGCTGTCCACCAGAACCCCCAGGTCCCTCCTGGCAGAGCTGCTCTCCAGCAGGTTGGCCCCTAGCCTGTGCTGGTGCCTGGGGTTATTCTTCCCAGGTGCAGGACCCTGCATTTGCCTTTGTTGGATTTCTGACAGTTCTTCCCTGCCCATCTCTCCAGGCTGTTGAGGTCCTTCTCAAGGGCTGCACAGCCCTCTGGGGTATCAGCCACTCCTCCTAGCTTTGTATCATCAGCAAACCAGTTCCAACAGCTGACAGACAGGCTTTGTGTTTCCCTAGCTTGCTCTCATCTTCCTGAGTAGCTCCAGTGCCAGCCAGCAAGAAATTCTATAGAAATGCACAGCATTCCACTTACTTTTGCCCTAAATTAATAGTATTTTGTCTTGAAACTGTTTATAAATTGATGTAACAACGAAGAAATCCAGCTTCAAGATGTGGAGGAAAAACCCTTCCAACACAGCAGACACAGAAGGGAAAAAAATTACTTCCAGGATTTTTCAAAGCCGAGTTACGCATTTGCTTATCTTCTGATGCTCACATTTGGACACCTGTAGTCCTTTGTCTCTTGTATCATGAAACCATAATTTAAAGCAATGGCCCATATAATTGTGAGGATAAATTACCTGTGTGAATAAGCTAAGTAAAACCATTCAGAACACTTGGTTAAGAGAAAGGTACTGATAACCATTTATCATAGATAAAGGGTTCAGCTATTTGCTGAGCTTTTCTGATAATTTCTTGAGGTCTTATGTCACTGAAAAGTGACAGAACATTTCCTTCTTTCTCTAGACTTCACTTTTCAGACACTACCATTAGAGCACGTAAAACAAGACATATTAAGATTTCTTTATTAAGACAAGCATAAGAAAGCATGCTCTTTGAATTAGTATGATTATAATATCTGTTTAAAGTTGAATATCCAAGCCAAATGCATTAGACTCCAAAAACCCATCGTTTTATTCCTGTTAGTTTGCAGCATTGTCTTTGTAAGCACAGACACAAGCTGCATGGTAGCTCTGCAGAGGCAATTAGTGCCATAAGGCAGAATAGAAAAACACATTCTCTAGGCAATAAAAACCCACCACACAGCAGTTTAAAAACATTTTTAAAAGCACACAACACTAATTTAAAACAAACAAAACTTTTTAAAAATAGGCTGTTTCTGAAGATGTGAATACACACTCAATAGTTGCAGGCCTAATTGGAACAGCTGAAAATAGCAGGTGCCCTTCATGCAAGATGAGGCCGTTTGTAACTCAGCTGTTCCAAGAGAACACAGTATACATACATAAAGAAGGATACTCATTTACCCATCTTTCTGCCCAGGAATCATAAAACATCCTTTGAGGTATCTAGCTCCAATGTTAATGGTATATGACAAAATTATTTTATATACAAGGCATTAAGATTACTCAAAAAAGACAAAATATATGGAGATAAAAACTTGATATGGCTGTGATAACATTCGTTATAATATTTGCTAAAGCAGCCATTTATTTTAACATTGATGCTCAATGTCTATTTTGGTCACCTTTGGAAATCTATAAATGTTGAAGTCAGAAACTAAACTTTCCTTTTTTATCTTGAGAACAGCAGTGTGTTCGCGTTGTGTTTTTTTCGTGTCCTATAGTGACAGACTGATGTGAGCTATGGCTAGGTCTCTATCAGCAGAAGGGTGATCCCATGAGACTACAGTGCAAATTTTCTCTTGGGAAAAGCACTGCTCACACTGCCACATTTGCAGTGGATCAGTCCCAAGCACCGAGTTCTGTCCCAACCCCAGCTACTGAACTGGGAGCTAACATCTGCCAAGGCAGAACTTCCATAGTGCAAGAAGAGCAAGTTCAGTGTTGGGAACACACAGAGACCTGTCTGACCATGTCCCCAGGTTTAAATACCAGCTTGTGATCAGAAAGCTACAGAAGTACCACTTCATCCAAGAGCAGTTCACTGGCTGGTTTCCTGACAATAGGCACGTTAAAAACTTTGGAGGGGGAGGTAATAAAGCATTTGAATGGAAAGACCGTCAAGATTAAAGCATTGGTGTATGCAGCCAGCAACAACATAATCGTCTCTGCCACCCACCTTCGCAGAGCACACTGTAAAAAATTAACATGAAATCTTTTTTTGTTGCCTCTCTCATTGGCCTAAGAGTACTCTACTGCACCATACACAAGGGTTTTTCTTGCAAGTGTTTTCATTCAGAATTACTTGCCAACTGGAAGCCAGCTATTTATACCAAACACTCAGCTTCCAATGCAAACAAGTTTCAAAATCCATTACAACACTGACTTTGCACAGAATTTTCAAAGTTTTTTTTCAATACCCATAATCTTCTGGGATTTAAAAGACACTTCCATGGTAATAAAAGCTACAGTAGGCAAGTTACATTATTTAAATATGCTTTTCTTCAGCACTTAGCTGAGAAGCAATTCTAATGCTTATTGTCTCTAGAGAAAAAAGGAAGCTTAATTCCTTGCTTTAAGAGAGTCACAGCACATTAAGGCTGTGCTGTCCAAAGCACTCAAAACCCTTACTGATCTTTATGAATTTAAATTAACTGCAGGGTATCAAGGCCTGATAAAGTGCTTGTTCAATTCCAATTACACTGTCCACATCTGGACAGGGAGAGGCTGACAAAAGTGACAAGTTTTCTAAAGCCAGACAGGTCTACTTGCACCAGATCAATATTGTTTTGATTGCTGGCACTTGCACAAACCCAACCAGAATAAGATTTTTGTACTCCATCTCTGGCTGACAAGCAGCAGTTCTGTACCTATGACAGGCTGAATGCCTTTCAGAATTTTGAATGCAATTCAGAAATGGATGTATTCATTACATTTGCTACATATCATAAACTAGTTCCTTACCATCTGAAGGTCTTCTATTTGCACATAACCCTTTTCCTGTGAAGTTATGCTTTTAATCAAAATGGCAAACTTCTCTTCTTCCTTCACTGACAAGTTGCAATCTGGGGGGGGGCGGGGGGGAGAAGGAAATAGCCTATCCAGTGCATCTACAAGTATGATTGAGAAACACAGCCTATGCCTTCTTACCACAAAGATAGGAACTAGTTGGTGATACAACCCGGCTGTTGCAGCAACTGACTGGAAGCCAGCATCTCATGAGCTGTATTTTTAGCTGTCAATGAATTAGTACGGCCTCAGGTGATTGCAGATGCTCCCAGTTCCTTCTGTTGTAAAGGGAACTGTTGCCTTCCCCAAAAGATGGAAAAATTAATGAAACAATATTCTTAGATATGGGAATGTTAAATATGAATTTCCTGTACATGCTTACAAATATCAAAATTAGACAGCTTTGTGTTTAGTGATGGAGGTTTTTTGTTCAAATTCTTAATTTCACTAATACAGAAAAGTTGCTTTTTTAAAACCCTTCCATAACACAAACAGCTATCTTACTTGCTAGTTAGCTAAAATTCAGCCCAGCTAATGCAGGGTGGCAGAAGGTATCAGCACCAGAATGTACTCCTCCAGATGATTATGTCTACAAGATAAATGAATAAAGCATCTGCAGCCCTGGAGGAAGAGGCCAGGGCCAGGACCAAGACACTGCTCTGCATGCTTCCTGCTTTCCCTTATCAGCTTCCTGAACACACTGCACAGAGGTGATAGCACAATGAATAGGCGCTACCAATGCCACCTCCTCTGTGCAGTGGGTTCAGTTCTACTCTCACCTCAACAACTCATTTTTGCCCCTGAAAAAGCCTCATGAAACCTCCTCCAAATCCAATACCGGCCAACACAAATTCATAGTCCAACTTCGATCCATTTACTGAGTTACAGATTCCATTTCTCCTAAAAACACAAACTGTGCTATGTAACTGTGCCCCTACTTAAAAAACTGCAGAGCAGAGGAGGTCAGACATACAAATACTAGACTGCCAGTAAGCAATAAAGTGCTCAATTAGATCAATCAAGCAAGCAATTGATATCACAAGTGGCTTTTCCTTTGTCCCTAAACACCTTCCTACATAGCTGTTCCCTTTACAGCACAGAATCACGTTTGTTTATGAAGGGGAAGTAAAACAACACCCTTAGTTCTAAACACTGAGCATTTAGTACCCTTTTTAAGGGAACAACAACAACAAAAAAGTTAGGCAAATAGTTAGAGAGGTTGCATAAAGAAATTTCCAAAGTTCCTTTAGGTCGTCCACTTAGAGTGTCAAGTTATGTGCTGACTTCACATTAAGTGAAAAAGAAAGAGAAAAAAGGGAAAAAAAAGCGAAAAATAAAGCTGACTCATTAGCAGCTTCCCAGAAGGACCAAGGGCAGCGAGACGTACAAGTGAAAGAAGCACAAGAAGCACTTCGGTTCTTATTGCTTACTAAATTAACATTACAGCATTTTACAGATTGGTCTAAAGGCAGCAGGACACAATACCTAAGTTTAATAAGAAGCAGTAAGAGGTGGGTTTTCTCCTGGACCCTACTAACAGCGCAATTCACGGGCTCTCACCAAGCAAATAAAAACCAGCTGGACATGGCATTGCCGCCCCCGGCAGGGGCGAGCCCACGAGGCCTCCCCGCACACGGGGGCGGGCGCAGCCCAGAGCTGAGGCTCGGAGAGCCTGGGCCCGGATCCCCGGCCGCCCCATTGCCCCGCGCAGCCGACACAGGGCGGCAACCGCCGCGGGCCAGGCCCGCCTCGCCCCGCAGAGGCCCCCGGCAGCCACAGCCCGCCCGCACAGGGCGCTACGCGGCACGGAGGAGGACACGGACCGATCAGACAGCCTGCCACCTTACCCGGGGCGCTGCAAGCTGCCAAAGCCCAACCCGTCACACACCTACCGGCGCCACCACAGCCACCGCCGCTCCCTCACGCCGGACCGGGCCGCCCCTTTAAGCTGCCATGTCCCGCCCGTCCCCGCAGCCGGCCCGCGCGCGTCACCGCCGCCCCCGGAAGCGGGGCCGGCCCGCCCCGCTCCTCCGCCACTCCCAGCGCGGCGGCGGAAGGAGCCGCCCCCGGCGCCCTCGCACGGCCCAGGCCCGCAACACCGGCCTGTGGACAGCCGGCATGGCGGCCCGCGAGGGCTGCTGCGCCTCCTTCCCCCCTCCTTGAAGCGTGCGGTGTGCGGGGTGTCAGTGCCGGGTGCGGGCTGCGCATGCTGGGGCCCGCGGTCCGGCCGTGCTGACCGGAGCTGCGGCAGCAAACAGCGCAGTACACAAGTGGCCTGTTTATATCAGTGCGGGTTTTCTCCAGTTACTACTCTCTGATAGGACGATGAGTGTGAATGTGAGCCCCCTTCTGCCACCAGCGGCGAGAAGGAGGACAGAAAGGGAAAGCTGCTGTTCGACCTCATCCTTTGCAGCTGAACCGCGCAGCATTTCCTAAGGTATATTCCTTCTCGGTGTGATAAGTTCTTCCCTGAGGCTGCTGTCAGATCCCGTACCTGCTGTAAGGCTGTAAGCACTGTAAACACAGCGGGTAGCTTTCACAGCATCAGGGCCTGCATCAGCTTTCGTGGGTCCTGAAGCCCCCTTCCAGTGAAACTGCTGCTGCGATCTCAGAGCTGGGTCTTGGTTTCCCTCGTCTCTCTCAGCACCTCGGGATGCTCCAAGCCCCTGTGGACTTTGGCCTCGTGAAAGGTCCCAGTGGAGTAAGGCTTATTGCACAGTGCATAGCCCGCGCTCTTCTCCTCCTGCCTTAAAAATCGCCCCTGGAGCAGATTGCCCTGGCCGGCGTGGTATCCACGGCGTCTCGCTGCTGAGGTACCCGCCGTCTGCAGCGTCTGATCTGTACAGCGGTAACACGTAGCACTGTGCGTTTAAAGCGCTGTATTTACACACAACAACCACCTCTGTTATCATTATCTGTTGGTAAATGCCCCCAGCTGGCCGGTGCTGGTGCCCTCGCCATTAAGATCAGTCGCCTGTCGGCCGTCCCCCACCCTCCTGCCGCCGCCAGGACTGCATTTCCCGGCAGGCCCCGCGGCCACGCAGGCGTGCCGTCCAGCGTGCAGCGCGGCCGCCTTCCCGCCGGCCCATTGGTGGGCTGCGCTGTGCCCCCGCCAAACCGCGCGCGGTCTTGCGGGCTGGGCCCGGTGCGGGCGCCGTGCGGGCGGCCGGTCCCGGGGCGGTGGTGGCCGTGCCTCCTCGGTCCCACAGGGAATGGGCTGCCGGGCCGCCGCCCTGGAGAGGGGTGCGATCCGTGAGTACCGGGGCTGTACGGAGCAGAGGGCTTGGGGAGCGCGGTGGCGGCCGGGGGCGATGGGGGTCGCTCCGGCTCTGGCGGAGTGGGCGGCCTGTGGAGGGCAGCAGGGCGAGCCCGGCCAGAGGGGCTGCGGCAGCGGGCAGCTCGCCTTGGGGCGGGCATGCGCTTTGCCTTGCCTTGCCTTGCCTTGTGAGCATCCCCTATCGCTGTAGTGGTCTCTGGACCTTGATGCCCTGCTGTAGAGCAGCTTGGTTAGGGCGGAGGACTCTGTCCCAGGTGTGTCGCTGCCCTGCTGCCTCTTCATACTTGCCAGAAGTGTTTCCGGGGATGAAGTGTGACTGAGTGCAGAGTTGCTTCGTTGCCGTCCTCATAAGCAAATATCTAAAAATATGTTGCAGTGAAGGCATGAATGAGTTTAGTGATAAGTATCTGGTAACTTAAAAGGAGTGGGGCTGACAGCGTGAAACAAATCATAATGGAACGATGAAATATGGGGTGTTTGAAAGTAATCATTGATCACTGCACACAGGGTAGTTAAAATCCAAGCTTATATTAAGAACTGTTCGGGGGTGCATATGAATGTCAATTCGTAAAAGTTTATGAAACATTGTATACAAATGGCATTGATTATTAAAGTTCATGCTTTAGTATACTTTGTTCATGGAGGTTTGGTAACAATCTTCTCATGCAGGTAAAAACCTTTCCTTTTCACCTTCCCTTCTACACCTGATGAAGTGCAACTTTAAAGAACAGATAGGTTCTGAGGTGATGTGTCCTGAGAAAGAAGAGAATTTGTGGACTTTGTTTTCAACATGATTTTCCAGGCTTGCATGTCTTATATCTCTGTTGCTTATTGCTGTTCTTCAGTTATTTGCTACTTCTTTCAGTTAAACCTCAATTACTGCATTTAACAAATCAACTGTTTTGCTGAGCTGACAGATCCTGGCCTAAAAAAAAAACCCAAACACTTAAGTCTTCCAAAAATTTGATTAATAGCTTTGCTGAAATGTAGAAGCTTATTCCCATTAGCATTGCAGTATTTGGGATTACTGCTGCAGGCTCTAAGGGCCAATGCAGTGTGTCTGTAATTTATTACCTTGGAAAATAGATTTCTATCCTGAATTGTCTCCTGTTAAAAGCAACTGAATTATGTTTTGTTTTTTTTTAAAGTTGTTGCTTGACTTCAGCTGAACTGGCAGTAAAAGGCAGCTGCACTTGCTCTACTTTGTGTGTTCCACTAATGGCTGATTTTTGTATGTAAAGCTAACTAAATAGGTGCTATACTCTGGCATTTTCAGTCGGTTTTACCCAAATTATGTTTGCATGTTACCTAAGTTCATTTGGTCACCAAACTTCAGGTAGCTTCTGTTCCCTGTGTTGAAAAATGTCACATATTTGAAGGGATGTCAGCTAAAGACATCTTAATTCTTACAGGATTGTGAGTTCAGTACAGAGCAGTCACTGTCCTCTAAATGCATACCTAAATTGTGTACAGAGATACAACTTGTAGCATCTAGGTAAAATGAAAGTATTTTTCTATCAATTTTCTTTCCACCTTATCTTGTAAAGAAAAAATTCATAAGATGTCCAGAATAAAATTTAAATTTGTTCAGAATCAAATTTTAATTGTTAAAGCTCTTTTTAATATCTAGTAATCCTGTTCTCTGAACTCTGCCACCAGATGGTGTCATAAGATTTGAGGTGTTATCTGACTCAAGCTGATTCTAGCAGAGCAAGAGGATACTATGCCTTACAAGTAACTTCTTTGGTTTTATAAAACTGTGTTTTATATTTGTAATGTAAGATTTTTTTCGTTTCTTTCATCAAGTCCTAGACTATTTTACATTTTGATCCTATTGTGGTAGTGCTGCTGGTGTTCAGCCCTGGGACAAACTGCATTACAGAGATATGAAAATTTAGGCAGAATCCTGTATTTCTGTTACCTGGTCATTAATGACTACTGTCTTAATGTTTGAGATCCTTATCTTGAATTCTTGGCATGAAAGCTCTTTATATTGAAAAGTGACTTGAGTACCTTGGTTTGAGTGCTTCAGATCACCTTCCAGTGATTCTTCATACTCTGTAATGACACTATAAATGTCATGTGTCATATGAATACCTGGGAAGGATATGATGAGCTTGAATAGCCTAGGAAGCGGGAAAAAAAGGATACAACTTAATGTTACAGAAATAAGTGTAAAATTTAGTGCTGAGTATTTCTGTCATTCTTATAAGGGTCTGTAAAGTGAAGACCCTTTATAAAGTGACTCAAGGTTACCAGAATAAGCTGGTAAATTATTTTGTAAGTCACAGTAATATTTAAATTATTAGATTTAAATATTTAAACCTAAAATTTAATTAGATTGTTTTGCCCACATCTTGTGGATCACTATGTTGCTTCTTAGTAAGACTTTGTCTCAGTCATTATCAATTGTGTTTGAGGCTGTAATAGTAGTCATACACAGACAACTCCCTTCTCCTAAGGGTGCTAATAGGGTGTTAGCAGAAGTACTACATCTGGTTTTGTACAATTCTTTTAAATTGTACAAAACTTGCATATGCCTTAAACCAAATAGGGAGTATGGGAGAAAACAGAAGCTTTCCAGGTATGTGGATTTTAGGTGTTCTAAGTGATAGCATACAGCAATAATGCTGAACAGTTCTTAATTCCAGTTTGGACAGAATATATTCCTGAATCTTCTGGTGTGTGAAAAGCTCTTATGAGTAAGACAGAAATAAGGCATTTAGTTTCACTAGAGAGGAATTATCATCTTGATTTACAGCAAGGAAAATTTACTTTGTATGTTAGCAAATTATTAGCATTGCTTGTGTATAGGAGTTGGAAAGATGCAATTTGGTTGTGGCTTGAATTATATATGTTCTTATGGTCTGTGCCCTGTTCTTACACTTACATGAAATAAAAATAGAAGTCAGTGAAAACTCTGTGTTCATGCCAGGTGTTCTGTGCCTGTGCCAGTCTGTTTAAGATATTTCTCTGTGGTGTAGTTATCTCCAGCAGACTTTCCCTGTATGTTGTAAAAATCCCAGCCATACTTATGATATAGCACTCAGTTTCTGCTAGATGTTTTCTAGGCCAGGTAGTGAAGTAAATTTTATTGCTTTTAACAGGAGCTTAGAGAACTTTGATCTGTGAAATAACTCTTCTTTCCTGGCTTGATGACAAAACAGTTGAGCACTTGTCTGCCCAATTATACCATTTGCTGTGTAGTGGTGCTGCTTCAGTGCTCAGGGGTCTAGACTACCCTTAGATTGTCACATGGATAAAATTAAATCTTGGAAAGCAGGGAGAAATTTACCTTAAAAGCTTTACTTCTGGTACAAGTATTTTAACTTCTGGAATGTAATGTAGTTTTCTCCTTTGCCCTGTAAAAATAAGAAACCAACTACAAAGTAGTTTGTACAATGCCTGACAGTGTGCTGCGGGAGAATCATGCTGTTAGCCGTGACTTGACTTTAGTAAGTCCTTAAGTTTTTGTTTGTTGCCTGGGTTAGGTTGCACAGATCAGCATCTCATAAGGAAAGTTAGTACCTCACACGTGCCCAGAAGGAGGGTTTAGGTAATTAGTAGAAGTTATGGTCTAGCAGGGGTGCATGGTAAATTCAGATGCTTGAGGGGCAATGAATCTTGGAAGGGAAGATAATCTGTGAATGATGGTGCTTTATTCCATGAAACTTCTGCTGGAGGTGATGAAATTGGAGCACAGGGCTCAGTATTATTACTATTACTATTCTGCAGTTCAGCTGCTGTGTGTGCAGAAGGTTGCTCAGGAGAGAAGTTGCTGAGGCACTAGGAATGACATCTCTGCAAGGAACTGAGCGTGTGCTGAGCGTGTTGCTGCAGAACATTCTGCACAGTGAATTTGTAGCCTCCTGTTCTTCTCAAGTGTGGAGTTTCCACTGCTCTCTGTGGGGACATGCAGCACTTAGGCAGGCCTTTAGATGGGCCAGTGCTGCTGATCTCTTTGAAGCCTCCTGAGGATTTCTAGGCAGCTGGAATGCTAGGCTGCACACCCCATTCCATGGCACTTGTGGCTTTATATAGTCAGAGTGTTCAGCCACTAATCTGTAGCAGATTTAATCTTGATGTACCTTTTTAATGTATGTTATCCGGTAAGGTTGAATAACTGTGGACAAATGGATGTTGTAGCAGGAAGTAGTCTAATGCCTAATTTTCTTGTAGACTATTTTTATTTGTGAGAAGAGTTCTCCAAAATCTCTGTAGCAGTCTTTTTTAATTTAATTAATGCTCTGTGATGTTTCTAAGCTCTGTACAGGTGTAGACAATGGGCAAGTTGTGTTTATATCACCTAGTTGTAAAACACATCCCTTCCCTTTAAAACAAACAAAAAATGACCCATTGAACAGTTACATTCC